CGTTTCTTTTCTTTTCTCTTCTTTTCTTTTTCCCGTGGAAGGTTTCTTTTGCAAAAAGGTAAGTTATTTAAATCTCTCCACTCCTCCCCCGCCCCCCCTCCCTCCACCTCTAAAGCTACTGGAGAGAGATTATTGCAGGAAACCTTTTAAAAAATTAAGTAAATTTTATCAAATGGCAAGTATTATGAGCTGCTGAAACAGAGGCTCGAGCAAAGGGTAATCGGACCAAAAAACCCCTAGGTCTTTACAGCAATCCTTTAGCAAAGACTTTTCTAGGGATCTGTAATTAAACTGGATAGTTTACACTCTGGAAATGAAGAAATTGCTTGGCTGGCTGGAACCAACCTTTAGCTTGGCTGAGTAAACAAAAGCACAATTTCTCTTCACTTTTTGTGTGTGTGCGTGTGTGGTGGCTGGGGGGTGGGCAAGGGAGCTTGCTGAGGGTTAATGGTGTTTTTCGCGCAAGTGTCAGCAGAAGATGATTAAATTCCACCTCTTGTTCACCAGATCACTTTTGTGTGCACTTGTATATTTCATTGTCGGCAACCGCTGATGATCACATCTGTGCAGTACATTAAGTGGCAAGCCTCTTCATCTGCACGATTTTTTTCTGATGATTTTTTCTGTGAATAATTCATATGATTATGAAGAGAAAAACTGCTATTTTCTATCTCTCTCTCTTTCTCTTCTGTAGCAGAGATTAAAAAAAAAATCTTGCTGTAAATTGCATGATTGGGGAGATAGCCTGCTTTCAAATAATTTAATTCATGACAAAACCTAATTACTGTCAGGTAATACCCTGTCAGCTTTAATGCATTTCATCAGTCATAATGAAAAGAAGAGCATTTTATGACCCATCTAATTATCATTACATTTTAGGGGGAAATGAATGGCATGGAGCTGAATGTTAACTATTCCATTTTATTCCTTTACACATGTGGTTTGGCATATTATTCCCCCCCTCTTTTTTTCTTCTCTCTCTCTCTCTCCTCTCTCTCTCACAAGAAAGAATTGTTGATTGGTGGGGGGGAGCATAAAGAGGGGTAGAAAGATGCAATTAAACCCGGGTGTTTGTCCCTCCTTACACACGCAGACACACATGCACACAAAAGTGACAAAGTGGTTAATGTCTTTGCAGGTTGGTGTTGACATCGGGTATCTTATTGCCACAGTCCAAATAGAGTACTAATTACTGCGAATGATGTCACCGTAGGCAGAGGAATAATCCCATCATTTAATTAGTTGAATGATTTAAACAAAGATTTGCATAGATGCACTAATCAGTTGCCATGAATTACAGAGCAGCAGTTGCCAGCGAGGGGTAACAGATCATACAGTTGGAGGGAAAAAAAAATCTCATCTCCTTGAACATAATTAATTTAATTGTCCTCATTAGCTGTACCATTTGTTTTGATTTTATTTCTCCCTTTCCCCACACATAACTTCTCCCTCCCTCCCTCTCCCCCTTTCTCTCTCTCTCTCTTTTTTTTTTATTTTTTTTTTTCCTTTCCCTTCTCTGAGTGCATTGGTGGAGAGAGAGACACTCACACACTGCTGTGTTTGCAGCGTGGTGGTAGCCGGGGAAGTCTATAAACACAGGGAAGTCAGGCTCCTCTGAGCATATATGGGTGCGCGCATGAAGCGACTAGGCTTCTGTCAAGTTTTGCTCCTCTCCATGTGCAGATCAGATCAAGGGAAGGGCTGGTTATTAATCTGCTGCCTCTGACTGTGCTTTTCGGGTTCTTGTCCAGGTTGGTTTTGCCTGAGTTTCCCTGCTCTTTAGAGGGTGAGGGTAACCAGACTACTTCAAGGTACTAAAGTTTGGAGTGAGCTTGGTCCAGCAACCTTTATGCACAGATGCTTAGCAAAGAGGGAGGGGGGCTATCCTAAATATCTGCATTTTTAAGTTGCTTTGATATTTTCAAATGAGTATTTATTTACTTATTAGGTATTATTATTAAACTGCTGGATTTAGCCGGGAGGGGGGAGGGTGGCAGAGCACTTCAATGCTTTTAAATCTTCCTTAGGTCTTGAAAGGCTTCTATAGTATGAGTGTCATTCAAATTTAGGGGCATATTGTAAGCTGACATCCTTGGAAGCTTTGTGGAAATCTGGTGTGGTGCTCCTAATAGCAGACAACAGAGAAGCACTTTGAAGTCTGAAAACTGTATTCACAAATTCTTAATCTGGTCTTTCTCCAACTGCAGATGGCTTTTAAAGGAAGAGGCTGTGGATTTTTTTTTTTTTACTTTATTTACAGTAGGCTAGGCTCAACATCTCTATCCTAGAAAGCCAAGAAACAATCAGCTCTGAGTGAGTGAATATCAAAGTATGTCATGCCTCTCCTTTTGTATGGTGTGTCTCCTGGGCGAGTCGATTGAAATATATCTGAGTTGCTTCCGTCCAGGAAGAAGTAGAGAGTAAGGATCTGACTTAGTTTTTGGGGACAGACATCACATAAAGGGACAACTGGGAAAGGGGTATTACTTGGGCAGACTGTTTAAACAGTACGGTGGCATATGCCAGACAATGCCCACTGTATTTGCTGGGGAGATCAACCCAGCTGGCATGATCTTTTGGAGTCGGTGCTTGTGCCTGCAACTTGGAAAGCAGCTGACGACAGAGAACTCCAGTGCGAAAAGTTTTCAGGCAGGTTTTGGGTAGGTGGGTGGCTGCCTGGGGGGATATAGTGCTGGCAGCTGGAGTCTCGCACTGAAAGGGGCTTTCTCTTCACCTGGAGGACTTGCTCCTACAAGTCATGCATGATACTAGAGAAATTAAGATCCTGTTTGTTTCTGATCTCTTCCTTTCTTGCTGCTTACTGTATGTAAGCACTACTTTTTCTTTTTAATTTTTTAGGTGGGGAGGGTGGGGGGAGGGCAAGCCACCCCGTCTGCTTCTGGAGGGTGATCCTGAGCTGCTTCTGTAGAGGTCACTTTTTGTGTCTGTGTGCGAGCTGGTCCCTGGTGTTTGTGTCTAGCATATGCATGTGGTTTTGCTGACTGCACTTGCAGGCTTGTAAATTTTCACCATGGGAAATTACCAACAAAGCCCAATCTGTCTCCTGGCTGCTTTGCACTTTCTGAGGGCGGCTGTACTTGAGTGAGCTGCAGAACGAGAGGGAGAGGGGGAGTGGGGGAAAGAGGGAGAGAAGAGAGGAAGGGTGGGTGGAGAGGGAAGAGGGGTAAATAGCCTTCAATCGGAAGGGAGTTGCTTCTCTGTGGTCTTCCACAAAAGCTGCCTGGGCTGTGCTGGCTCAGTAATAACTGAGTGACCTTTTCTTTTGCTGTATTATGTCTGGCTGGTAAGGGATTGCATTTTGCAGCTGATAAAGCCCTGACTTCATTCAGCTCGGCTTCGCATACGCTGCTTTAGGTAAGTTGTCTTCAGCCAGGACGGAGACAGACAGCCTTGGACTGCAAGATACTAAAAGAAGGACACCTGTAGCTCGGATGCGGTCAACACAATTACTTGGCGGATCCTTGAGGACCTCATTATTTTAAACTTAAAGAATAGTCATCTCCCCCCGTCTCTCCTACCCCCTTTCTTTTTTTTTCTTCTTCTTTTTCCCCCCAAACAATGCTTCTTTTTGACCTTTCCCAAGGAGAAGAGCTACAAAGCAGCCACTGTGCTTATTGAACTGCCTCCCCTTGTATCGCTTAATTGAGAAGGTAAGTGAGGCAAGTGGGTGCAGGAGCTTTGGATGGGGGCCGGGTGTCTGTGTGTGCTTCTAACGAGGGATAAATGGGGACTGGAGCTTGGGGCTGGGGGGGTCTGCTTGTAACGAGTCAAATTGGGGCTGGAGGGGTGTGTGCGCGTGTGTAACGAGTCCCAAACTGAGGCTGCAATACCCTCTTCCTCGCTCATCCCTGGGCTGCAACTTTCACGCAGGCTGCAGCTCTGCTGAGCCTGGTTTTTTTTGTTTCTATCGTGTGAAGCTTCGTTATTTTGATGATGAGACCATGTT